GGAATGCCCTGTTGGTCTGTCATAAAGTATTCTTAATAGTGCTGGCAGAAGGATCTTTCTACGCACCCAGTCAGTCAGTATTTAGAGCCTCTCTGCCATCAATACCATGTTGGAATGTTTGTGTCCTCCAGTAGTTATTTAGGTCAGAAATTATAGGTACAGTGAACTCTCTTTAATCCCACCACTTCTTTCTCCAAGGAGTTCACTTCCAAAAAGGTGGAGGGGAAAGAACTCTTTCAAAGCAAAACTCAGCATTTGTTTAATTTTAGGGTATATGAAGATAATGTTGTACTTGCTGATTTACCATTTTTCTTTTTCTTCTGCTTGAGTTCAGCTATCACACAAGCCAAGCAACATAAGGCTTTTGTTATTAGGCAGGCATGTTATTAAGTAGACTAAAGCAATCAAAGTTTTCTTCTCATTTCATTTTTCTGCATAGAGTCTGTTAGAAAACCTTGCTATAATTTCCAGCCCTACAGTGATTTAATAAAGTCTTCAAATGGTTGGTCATTTTTTAGCTAGCCAAGATAGTTAAGGTGAGGAAGAAAAAGGGGTGCCTAATTCACAAGAGAGAGAGGGAGAGATGTGATTAAGAGGAAGGATCCTGTTTGGACTGGAATGATAGCTAGAATGCATGATTATTCTGCAAGGAGTGTACAATTTATTTACCTGTCAGTAAATGTTACTTTGTGAGGAGCGTGCCCAGGGGAGTGAATAATAATAATAATCTCCAGTTTATTCTGTCTCATAGTGCGTGTGCTCTGAGGAAGCACTACCTGATTTTACAGCATCTGCAGACATAAACTGAAGCTTTTACAGTTAATTCTTAAGCTGTAGAGCAGATGGAGGGAGATGACATTCAATTTAATGCCTACTTATGCACCTTTTACTGTAAACACTAGACTTTTTCTTTACAATGTTAGTTTAGTTAAGGAATTCACTGGATTCTGTACGTTATTTACCCATTAAGATTTCACCAGTGGCTGTACTGATTACTATTTTTATGGGCATTGGCAATAATTATGCTGTGCAAAAGGGAAAAAGATGTAATCAGAGGAGTCAATTTCATAAGCACAATACATGTCCATTCCTAGATCCTTAGCATGAGTGTTTTTTCAGTCAGTTTAAAAGCACACAAAACAGTACAACTGTTAACTATTTCTTTAACTTTCTGAACTATAAAATGTTTATAGCTTTTTCAAATAAATATGTATAATATATAAGGATAATCTTGATTATTTCTCTCTCTCTTTTGAACCAGCCTCTTATTCCTAGAAGTCCTACAAGCAGTGTTGCTACGCCATCCAGCACTATCAGCACACCTACAAAAAGAGACAGCTCTGCCCTTCAGGATCTCTACATACCCCCTCCTCCAACAGAACCTTATGTTCCAAGGTAAAAAAGATCATTTCAGGTACAATTCAATGTAAAAAATATTTGTAAAGTAACTGACCATTCTGTTCCTACCCGTTTATCAGCCTGCCCTGTGGGATTAGGCTGATAAGACTTAACATTTTGCAGGTGAAGTGGTTATTAAGGGTAGACATGCTGAATCGGATCCACAATGATCTGAGTCAGCGTCTTGTCTGCAAAACAGACAGTAGCCTTTAGAAAAGAAGGTGTTCAGTACCCTATTTTCTCAAATATGGGATAATCTATTGTCTGTAACAGTCTCATCCTATTTCAGAAGAGCAAAAATTATCTGAAACGCTGAATCTATAACTAGGAAAAGAGTTCGTATCTGTCCCCTTGCCTAATAACCGTGATGCAACAAGGGAGGCTGAGCTACAAGCAAGAAACTTTCAACTTCAACAAAGAGCACTGTTTTATTCTGCCATAGTGTTTTCTTTTTTCATAGAATTGTAGAATCATAGAATAGTTTGGGTTGGAAGGGACCTCTAAAGGTCATCTAGTCCAACCCCCCTGCCGTGGGCAGGGACATCTTCAACTAGATCAGGTTGCTCAGAGCCCCGTCCAGCCTGACCTTGAATGTTTCCAGGGATGGGGCATCCACCACCTCTCTGGGCAACCTGTGCCAGTGCTTCACCACCCTCAGCGTAAAAAACATCTTCCTTCTATCTAGTCTAAATCTACCCCCCTTTAGTTTAAAGCCATTCCCCCTTGTCCTGTCGCAACAGGCCCTGCTAAAAAGTCTGCCGCCATCTTTTTTATAAGCCCCCTTTAAGTACTGATAGGCTGCCATAAGGTCTCCCCGAAGCCTTCTCTTCTCCAGGCTGAACAACCCAAACTCTCTCAGCCTTTCTTCAGAGGAGAGGTGTTCCATCCCCCTGATCATTTTTGTGGCCCTCTTCTGGACCCGCTCCAACAGGTCCGTGTCTTTCTTATGCTGAGGGCTCCAGAGCTGGACGCAGTACTCCAGGTGGGGTCTCACCAGAGCAGAGCAGAGGGGCAGAATCACCTCCCTCGACCTGCTGGCCACGCTTCTTTTCATGCAGCCCAGGATACGATTGGCCTTCTGGGCTGCGAGCGCACATTGCTGGCTCATGTCCAGCTTTTCATCCACCAGTACCCCCCAGTCCTTCTCGGCAGGGCTGCTCTCAATCCCTTCATCCCCCAGCCTGTTTTAGATTGATTTGATTTGATTTGATAGTGTTAGAGCAAATTTCAGGATTGCATTTTAGTGTGGCCATTCTGCCTGATTCTGCAGTGACCATGCTGTTCCTTGTAAATATATCTGCTACTCTGACCTTCTACCTGGAACAGGCATTCCCATCTCTCCCAGGTCTCTGGGCTTGCTGAGCCAGAAAAGCAGCAGATCCTCCTTGCAGATTCATCACCCTACCCTCACATGACCTCAGATGATTCAGTATAATTCCATAACATGCACAGATGTTGCTTTCCTAAAATTCTGAGAGAATTGTGGCCTATAAATAATATGAAAGTAGCTACCCAGAGTTCTAGGAATGTATTTAAGAGGAATCAGTATTTTTGAAGCTTCCATATTCTTAGACACAGGCTATCATATGTCCAGTCAATGTATTTTGAAATTACTTCTTGCTTTTCTTTTAGTTAACATTCTTGGAAAGGTTCTAAGGGCAGCATGTCGTTTCTTGTACCTGAGTTTCCTGTAGCTGAGTTTTTCTTAGACTTTCTTATCAGTAACTCTTCTAACCAATTAGTAAGATGTATGACCTGATACTGACAAGACTTTTCCTGGGGGTTATCCAACAGTGAGGTGTATGGCAAATTCAATTGCCTAGTGGGGAGGAGAAGTTGCGATTCTATAATAAATTCTTACTCTTCAGAGATATGAAAAACCTTCCAGGGCAAAAGAGTGACTTTCCACTTCATCATTTAGATGATGTCACAAGCCTTTTGTGAAACCGTAAGCTGAGTCCCATGTTCCTTCCTCATTCCTGCCTCGTCTGTTACCTGGCTTGGTTTTTATTTCTTGAAAAACAATTATTGCCATTTTATTTCAAATGCGACACACATAATGCAGTTGAACCTGCTAACACAATTAGTCTAGTATCTGTCTTAAAGTGACAAAGAGACAAACAGAATGCATAGTCTAGTTCACTTTTTTTTTCTTCTAATTAAATAAAAACATTGTCAGTCATGACACTTGAATTGTTCATAGGGATTGAATGTGTCTTTTATCTCTCTGATAACAGTATTTTGTTATGTCTATGTAAATATTTTAAAGACATGGTTTTCAGAAAATCCACAGAAAAAATCAAGTATTTAATTCTAACCTATTAATGTAAGAAAGCTGCAAAAAGAAACGCCAACCAAAACATAGTCTTAGGTTTCTCTTTGAATGCAGTAGTTATATAGTAAAGACCTGTTGCTCCTGAAATTGAAACTGTACTATCTTAAAAGAAGTAGTGCCTTTGTACTGCTACTGATCGTGTTTACCACCACAAAAATACTTCTATTTGATAAGAAATGCATCCCCTTTTTTGAGGTATTTTTAGCGAATATTCACTGCTTAGCAGTTTTTGAGTTCTGCTCTAGAAATCAAGATCTTCAAAATGCATTTTGATTATTTATTAATAACATTTCTTAAATCATGATGCAAATGCAGTAGTTTGGACCAATTCTGATTAAATCTTATAATACGTATTAGTACAAGCTGTAATCTTACAGAGAGATTAAGCTATGTACATTTGAATTTTTTTTATCAGCTTAATCCTAATGGACTATACTTCGTTTCACAAACCTGTCATATAGTGTACAGTGTTTCTGAATAATTTGTTTTGTCATTTCATCAGGTTTTTTTGTCCATGATTAACTATATTTAAGCATGTCCTTATATCGGGTGTTATCAAACTGTTCAGCATCTGTTTCTCAGTTTGTTGTTGCCGTTCCAAGGAAGAAAAACAACCAAACCAACCCTCCTTTTGTTACTGGAATAGAGTAAAAGACTTGATATTTTGATGTAAATTGTAAAACCCTGAAGCTACACCGCCTTGGTGACGATACCCACAGATAATACAGCTGCCGATATAACTGCACACGGGTGGCATGAGAAAGAGGGACCGACACTTTCCGTGTGCCGGTTACTTTGAAGTGTTGGTCGTAAGATAGTGCCTGCTCAAATTTGTCGAATACCTTTGGGGGTGAGAACTGAAGCCCTCATCTCCAGAGGGCTGTGGCAAAGGGTGTTTGCCTTGTGGCTCTGTACTTCTCTCCATGCTCGCAGTAAAGATCCCTCCAGCTCAGGCTGGAGGCTTCTTTGTGCCAGCCCCTGACAGTAGCTGCAGCACCGATTAGCACCTGGCTGTTTTATGTCAGTCTCCATCATGTTACCTGCCGGGGTCCCCCAGCACTGTCACCACAGAAAGTCTTTCCGTGACTGGAGATGAGCTCACAGCCCCGGTGGGGCTGCACCAGCCCGCCTCGCTAAGCCAACACCGTCCCTGCTCTGGGAAAGCAGCCTGGCAAAGCAAGCGTAGTGGTCAGTGCAGGTTTGTGGTGCTGCACTGTCACAGCCAAGGCAGGATGGCCCTTTCTCATCCTCCATGACTGCCTAGATCCCACGAGGAGGCTTTGCTTCATCCTCAGATGGAGTCTCAGGGTGCCAGGGGAAGTATGGGTCAGCACGCTGGCCAGCTTGGAACTCACATGGCAGTCCAGAGGAGCAGAAGCACTCCAACGAGGGCATGAGGCCCCAGCTTGTCTCTTGGCTGCCTCCCATGCATTTTGCTGCCCAAAATTACTGTCTGATTAGGTCTTTTGCAGCCATCTCCGGGCACAGTCCTACCAGCAGGTTTACTGAGCCCTGCTTCATTTAGTGCAAGGAGAGGGCTCCTACCCCAGGCACAGCTTGCTCGCTTGTTTGATGCCTTTGAGTAGTTTGCATTTTCAGAGAGTGGGGCAGGGTTGCGGGGAAGGAAAAAGCAATCATCTTGGGGATCTGTACACAAACTGGGAAGTGCATGCCTTGGAATGTATTGCTGTCCTGGCATAGCAGCTCATGATCAGGTGCTACACGCCCTATTTGATACTGCATGGATGTACCTATACAACTTCTAGGCCTGAATTGATCGTGCAAGACTATGTCAAATGTCTGCACATCATCGGTCCCTGGTTCTTCTTGCTCTGGGGTTAGTTTGTCAGGAACCAGTTTGAATTTGTCCATGCTTGCCATATAGTCATGCCTTAAAACTATCTGATGTATTTAAAAATGCAAGTATAAAAAAGTAAGGTCAACATTATTTCTCTGCCTTAAATCACAGAATGCTAGGTAGATTCCAAAAAACAAGAAAAAAAAAGTAGCTGCACGTCAGCTTTATTTCTATGATTCTTTTCAAGAGAAACCAATAAGATGGGTACAGTCTGTAAAAGAATTGAATAAGCAGAGATGTGTGAGATAACTGGCACATACATGTACACATATGCGTATATGATGTGTGATCCTGATGCTGGTCGATGGCATCTGTTTCCTGCTTGTATGAAATACTGACATAGTCCAACGTTTATTGAAATATTCACAGTAAAAAAAAAATCAATGTCTTATCCCAATATATTAAAATCCTCTCTTGTTTACTAAAGGGATGAAAAGGGAAATCTCCCGTGTGATGATGTTGGCAGACATATAGTGGGCAAGCCGGTTCATACAGGATCCGAATCTCCAAACTCATTTCTTGACCAGGAATATCGGAAACGCTTTAACGTGGTTGAAGAAGATGCAGTTTTATACTGCTATGAATATGAGAAAGGAAGAACAAGTGGCCCTGGAAGGAGAGAGAGCACACCAACATATGGTATGGCATTGATCTAATAAGGATAATCACCATTTGTTGATTTTAGGATTTTTGTGCATCTGCTTTTGTTTTTAAGCATGAATATATTTTCAGTGGCTATTGATTTTGCTAAGACTTCTGTACTACTTTAGTCCAATTTGAACCTAAGAGCTTATTCTGTGCAAGAAAAAATTAATTATTTACAGGGAAGGCAAGTCCAGTTTTATATTGATTATTTTTCTGAATATAAGTTCTATAATTTTGTTATCAGCTTAATTTTCCAGATTATGCTTCAGTATCATTTTATCAAAAAAACCCTGGCAGAAGCCCATATATTTTTACTAAAAATACAGGACGGAATTATTCTCCCAGTATAAGGGCAAGACTTGCATAGGTTTAGGAATTCAGCATTAGAAAAACGTACCCAGGTATAATAGTTTTAAAGATCAAAACCACTTCAGATTTACCAAGAGATGACATGCTGCTTTCATGGTGCGCTGCTCTCTAAAACTCTTTAATTTTTCTTTAGTCCCAGAAATGAAGTATGACTAATGATAGTATGCTTTTTTTTTGTAATACTGCGTTAACCTCCTGTAACTTCCTGTATGGGAAGTGATGACTTCCTATGTATAGCAGTTCCTCTTTATTTGAGGTTATACGTTGTCTAAGAAAGGATTTTGCATGTAAACACACACGTGTGGTCATGTTACTTCCACGTCTTGGATTTTGACTTATTGTTTCTGAGTTCTCACCCTACATTTCTGGTGAGAATTTTGCTCCTCAAACCTTTATGCTCCAGGTTATTTTCCCTCGAATCTGTTGGAACTCTTCCTTTAGCTAGTATTGTAACTCGTTTCAGCTTTGGACTGGGAGAATTGGTTTTCTGTTGCCAAGTATAAAATTGTGCAGTCATAGAGTTGTTAGGATATAAAAAAAAATTAAGAGGAAATCTCATGTTTAAGAAAGATATTTTGAATACTATGATATTAGCTGAACACACACTTGAATAATTTTTCACCCTACTTGCTATGTTATTTCAGTTTTTAAACTGAGCACAAGTTCTATGTTGGAGTTGTTACAGTAATCCTGACATCATATCCCTTTGAGAAGAAGATAGACTTAATTTATGAGGAGGTGTAGCTTTAGTACATCATGCAGCCAAGCTCCAAAATCACCTGGGAACCTTGATATAAATTGAGCTTGAGCTGTGTAAAGTATCCTCAGGACCTGGAGAGATGTGCTTGCACAACATTGAAGGATGCATTTTCATAAAATGCACCCTTTCTACACAACTATACAATCCTGCTGCAAAATCCCCAGTAACCTTTTTATTTCAAAGTGTTTTCAGGTGTTTTCTAACCATGCCCATAGTGTACAAAATAACTACTAAGTTTTCAAAGTGGATATATCAATTTTATTACTGCAGTATTTCAGCTATTACAATTGGTGGATGCAGTCAGTTCCATTAACAGAGATGTACTCTCTCCTCCAGATGTTAAATCTTAATACTGGTGGTCTAGAGTGAAGAATAACACATTTCTTCTTCAAGGACTGCTGAATCCGTTATTTTGTTACAGGATAGCTTTTTTAGCCTTTTTTTCTATTAGCAGAAAGGGTTATAAATACATGGATCAAAGACTGCACTGAAAGTCAGTCATTATTTAACACATTTGTTATACAGCCTTTCACTTTTGATCTCACTTCTTTTTTAATGAATTCACACCATCAAGTCCATTTTCATTTAAGTGTATTTTCTAAAAATATTACCATTTCAGCATTAAATTCTAAAGTTTCCCACATGGCATTTGTTAGCATAAGATTTGTGGCTAGGCATGACCTTAGGATTTCACAGAAATCTGGAAAATGACAATAACACTGTTCTGGCTTATGGTGAACCATTAAAGAAGGTCAAACAGAGTTCCAAGGCCTAGAAAAATAATTGTTTTCAGCATCATTAATTGTGTGGTGGTGTTAATTTTTTTAAAAATATTTCTCAGGCCTCCTTTGTGAGAGGTTAATAGGGCCCTCTATAATTTCTTTATTGGAATCTTTTGACATTTTTTGACAATGTTAACAAAGAGATTTCTCTTTCATGCTCTTACTGGCTTCCAGCTGTTGTATAATTGTTGCTAATTGGCCTCGGAAAGCTTCTGTTCACATCCCAAGGAAGAAATTTTCCTGAGTGTAGTCACCAGGGAAAACAGGGAATCCGTGGGGGTTAACAAGAAGGAGATTAGCAGAGGTAGCAGGCAAAGGAAACTAGAGTTTAAGGAAAGAAACAAATTTGGTCATTGCAGTTTTACTGCCAGATACAAAAAACATGCACTTTGAACAGCTAGAGATTTTGTAGAAAATTTGTTATGGCTATAGCTTTTGATAGCAATCAGACTTCACATGATTTTGTAGCTTTTGGATCTCTTTAAGTGTGCAGGTCCTTTCAATAAGATACTGTGAGTTCAGCCTTACAAAGAAGAGAAAGTTGTATTTCTAGACAAAGTAACAGTTGACAGTTACTTGTGATCAAGTAAACGTGAGCCAAATACATCCCCACTCAGGAAATGACTTCTTAACAGCGTGCTCCAAATCTCACCGGCTTCAATCAGACTTAAATATGTGTCCATAAATAGTAAAATAAATGATAAATAAAAAGTTAAATATATATGTTGCATTTCCTGAGCAATGATGTATTTGTGACCTGATCCTGGGGTCTGTGCAGAACATACACCTTTTTTTGTCAATTTTTTAAAAAGACAATAAAACCTTTTACCATTATGCTACCTGCATGGTATTGGTGTATTTCCCATGGATGCCATCCTTCAATAGGTAGATAGGCATGTTTGAATATTTGTTTTCATTATAAACACATCTTTCTTTTTCAGTGTATCATGGATTTAACCTCAAAAATGCGGAATAAGACCGATCACCTTTATGTAGGGGTTTTCTACTAAAATAATTAACAAGACTTCTGAAGTTTTTACTTTAAGCTCTGCTACTTTTAAAAACAAATTATTTTCCCACTTTTTGGTTTTGTGACCAGTAGATCAATTCAAAAAAGAGCGAGGGCTGACCTTGGTGTGGAAACGTTTTGTTTTCAGTCTGCCAGGTATTGTGCCATATGCTATGCTACTCTCTGTTTTATTTCAATGTACTATTTAACTTGCTGAAAACTTCAGACCACTTTAAGTAACCCCACTAAGTTGCACAGCACACTTCCACTGAATTTCCAACCTTATTAGTGGAGTCCTTAAGCGGAAATCATAGTTCACAGCATTTTTAAAATCAACTCAGCAGCTTCCAAATCCAAATTTAAAAGATACAATAGTCTTCAGCTTTTCTGTCTCTTGCTGTCTGAAATCAAACTGAATTTACCAATAGTAATGTGCTTTGCTTTCTGTGGATGAAATGCTACAAAAGAAATTACACGTAGAGATTTTCTGCTTCCTTTCTTACTCAGTCACTGATGGATCTTTTAAGCCCACCAGCAAAGATGCTATTTGTGAAGGTACTTTAATGATGTGGACACGTTTCTGTTACCAACAATTCACATACGCTTTAAAACAGTTCTCTCCATGTGTGTGCCAGGGGCTTCCAGAATAGTAAATAGATATTGTTCAGTGAAAACTAAAGTAATTTGAATGCGTTTGTCAGTCTCAAATGTCAGTCTGCTGACGATTTTGTAGGGCACTGGATTTATTTTCTAAACTTTAAAAAATCCATTAAATACTTAGCTGCTTCTTGTCTGTTAAAGAAAACAGAACTCCTATCTTAACCTCTTGTTCAGAGGCAATGCTGGATCCTCTTTCATAAGCAACCCTGTAGAATAGCAGCTTAGCACATAATTTGTTCTTTCTTCTAAAGAATGTTAGTTTAATGCTGCCTTATGGTGCATGATCTCAATTTTTTCCTCTGTTTCCAGGGAAACTAAGGCCTATTTCTATGCCAGTAGAATATAACTGGGTGGGGGATTATGAAGACCCCAATAAAATAAAAAGAGATAGTAGGAGAGGTAAGTGATCTGAACACACATCTTGTACAAGGCATTATGGGTTTTCTCATGCTTTAAGCTATATATTTCAACCTCATTTTGCTGCTTGCTTAGCTATATATTTTCGTGAACCTGTTTTGGGTTCTTTCATTATGCATACTTAATTTTTTGCAGAGCCTCTATTAGGATTGAGGAAGTTGCTCAGCCAGGGAAAAGAAAATCATGACTGCAAAGCCCTGCAGTTTGTCTTGACTTTATATTGGCATTTCATTGATTCAGCTGTATTATCCAGTCCATTTTGAAACTGGCCTTAATTTTATAATACTAGAGGACAAATGTATGGTTATTACTGATAAATATTATTATGCTTAAATGAGAATTATATATCACATTTCTTTGTCTCCATGAGGTTTTTTTGGATGGAAAACATTCTAGATCAGCATGGGATTCACCTCAAAATCATTGAGGATAAGTTCTTCAAAATTCTGGTTTGTGAGGCTCAGATACGTAACTTCACATACAAAATGATAATCTCTGAGACGGCTATTATTGCCCAGGAAAAAGATGTTAGTAATGATAAATATTTCCATTAAAATATTAACTAAATGTTCAGTAGTGATCAAAAAAGGAAACACTGTTAGGAATTATTAGGAAAAGAATACAAGACAAATTAAGAAGCATTCTTATGCTGCTGTCTAAGTTCTTGCTCATGCTGGGTGTGTGTGCAGTTCTGGTCTCTTCACCTCTTAAGAAAAATACAGTAGAATTGAAGAAGGTTTAGGAGACAACAAAAATGATCAGATGTGTGGAGTGGCTTCCAAACCAGGGTCAATTCAGTAGGCTGGCCGTCATCAGTTTGGGAGAATTTAGGCAGGACATAAGAAAGGTTTATAAAATCTTGCGTGGACTGAAGTAAGGAAATAGGTTTGTCACTGTTTTTTCCCGAAACAAGACCCGAGAGACATCAAATGTCTCCATCAAGTGCTGGTTAAAAAGAAAAAGAGCTGGCTCCTCGTGCAGTTTGGGTTCAAGCTAAGGAACGTCTTGCCACAGGAGGTTGTGGGTACTAAAAGTTCACATTAACACAAGGAAAGACCAGACAAGTTCATGAAAGACAAATCTGCTGAGGTTTCCTAAATTCACAAATGTTGCTTCTGTCTCAGGGTGTCCCTCAGCTACAAGCTGGTAGATGCTGGAAGAGTATTTGGGGAAATTATGGATGATATGGTGAACGATCTCAAATGAAAGTTCAAAGCAAATTCCTTTTAAATGTATGGCACCACAGTCATTTGTATTCGTTAGGATCTTGTTTAAAAAAAAAGATTACAGATATGATCGTAAGTGTATCGCTGCTCATTTTTTGAAAACTGCAAGACAAAATTTATTGATGTGGGACTTCTTTTATGTTCTGTTCCTTTTATTGTCAAAGATACCAGAAAACTGCAAGAATCGTGAATTTTCCCTACCAAAAGATTGCTTTCTTCTTATATCCAGACCAATGAAGCAAATGGGTTCTGTTAATGAAATATTCTTGAAGAGTTAAAATTGACAGTAGATCTTAGCAAAAATATTATATATTTTGGAAGCAGGATTAACATACATACAACAATTCACAATAATGTTTTGCATTACTTTTCTTTCAACAGAAAATTCATTGCTTCGCTATATGAGCAATGAGAAAATAGGTCAAGAAGACTACATGTTTCAAAGGAACAGCAAAAAGGATACTGGGAAAAAGTCCAAAAAGAAGGGAGACAAGAGTAGTAGTCCAAGTCATTACTCGCTGTTGCCTAGTTTACAAATGGACTCATTGAGACAAGAAGTCATGGGCACACCTGGACCAGAAACTGCTTTGTACCACGTGAGTAAAAATAATATTAACAAAAGTTGTTGCTCTGTGCTCATGATGAGACACTTGTCTTGTTCTTAAAGTGGTGTTGAAACCTTTTTTGGACGGCTGCTGTTGCACTGATTCCTATTCTTTGGACAATGACTAGATCACAAAGAAATATTTTAGAATTCTTTATTTTGCTGTTACAAATGTGGGATGGACACCAGTTTTATCTCCTTTAACTAGAAGATGTCATGTTTGAAATGGAGTGTGGCATCTGTGCTGTGACTTACTTGCTACTGATGGAAAGGGAAGAAGCAGCAGTTTCCAGACTGACTAGAAACCTTCTTTCCAGCATCTATGTCACTGCAATATGCTAAGTCATATCAGACAACCCCTTTACTACAGGTACTTCAAAGGCCTGATAATGGCAGGAAAACTTGTGGGAGGTGTTTGTTTTTCCTTTGAGGTAAGGGGAGCCCTAACGCCTGTAACTGTTTTTAACATATAGCCCTCAATAAGTCAAGTAAATGTGAAGGAAGGGATTCTGCTGAATAGGGTGTAGAAGGAAAATTGCAGTAACTTGCTAGTTTTTAAATGTGTCAAGAAAATGGAGTTAGAAGATCACAACATATTTTAGATATGGTATCACATTCACCCCATAAAAGTATTTACATTTTAGATCTCAGTAAAAGATGTCATTGTAGAGGAATATACACACAGTAACTGTACAGCAAAACAATAGAAATAATTGAAATTATCTTCATATACTAACAAGGAGTATGTAATTTAGATTACCAATGTCTAAGGGAGATGGTAGTGTGGGCTTGTCAGGAAGTCTGCTATGAAAAATTGGCAGGTAGAGCTTCACTGAACCTTTAAGAGACAAGTAACTTGTTGTAAAACATCACTACGGAGTATCACATTACAATTGGTGTAGATTAATTGAAACTAATGGAGCCTTTGCATCCTTTTACACCATCTGAGTGCTTGGTCCGCTGGCTTCTAAAACTCCTTAGTGTGCTGCAGTGTATAGGTGAGTCTGATAAATTTCAGAGAAGATGTCATTTAGTATTAAAAGTAAGTGCTTGGGGTGCACTTTAATTAAATCAGGTCCCCAGACTCAAGAACTGCTGTTCCCTTTCTTTTTCATTTGTAGTAATTTAGGTATGATGATAAACATTTTTTCTTACATTATTACTTCCAACTTTAGTTTTACGCTCTTTTTGTAAGTTGGAAATCTGATAGTGGGGAGATTTCCACTTGCAAAGGCAGACTGATATATAGTGTTTCACTAATACATGATGCCAGGGATGTTGCAGGTGTCCCCATACTGTCCTCTTTGTAATGTCTGCAGTCTTTCCTAGAAGGAACCTAATCAGTGCAAGAGCCCTTGAAATCAAATATTTACAAAACAAAATAGAAAACTTATTTGTGTAATGGAGGACTTTCCACTCTGTAAAGAACAATGTGGTAAATTTGCAACACTTACCATGTATTGAGAGAATACTCATCTCTCAATAGCATTTCTTTGTTAGTATACATCAAATCCCTGACACTGTGCAGTGAGAGAAACTTTTTTTTTAAGGTACCATCTTTGTTTTTCCTTGGTTTCCTCTATTATCCCTTATGTCTAGTTTCCAAATTGTGTACAAAAAGAAATTATGTACACGGGAAGTGGAAGGTTCTTCAGAATTCTGGTGTGGAATTTAATGAGCAGCAGCAAACTTAGAATTGACAACCGGCATTTTGCGTGTAGTTTGGATACCCGTCCACAAAACACCTGAACTGTTAACACCACAAATTCCACCAGTGTCTGCTGATTCTATTTGTGCATCATTACCATGAAAGGATGCCTCTCTCTGTAATGCCATTAAATCTTCAGCATCTTTTTGGAAGTTTAGTGGGAACTTATTTATTTATAAAAATAAATAAAGGTTATTCGTTCTTCAGAATACAAATCAGTATTGATCTGCTAACTGGCTTTGAAGCAAAATACATGAAATAAACAGAAAGACGACGCTTGAGCCATTGATTTGTCCCTGGGGAAATGGGAAGGAGCCCTTCACAAAGCCTTTATAGCCCTCCGCAGCTGATTATTGCTGGTCCTATCGCTGGAAGCCACCTGGCTGCCACCGTGCAGTACGATACAGTTCCCTTTTTGTGGTGATGCCACCCAAGCATACTGACTTATGAAACACTAATCTAGTTTGCAGATAGGGCTATATGTTTTTGCCACAGAGCAGAGCCAGAGGTTTTGTAATAAATTGGACAGAACTTTTCTTAAAATCTTAAATAAACAGCAGCGTGAGCAGATAAAGAACAGGGGAATACAGATAAAACACAAGGAACTCATGTTAATAAAACTGCAGTACAGTTTTATAAAATTATAGATAACAAATAGGACAATGGAAACACTTTATGCTCAAATTGCAAATTGCATCTTAAAGTGCACTAAAAAGTGGCTGTCCTATTAGAAACTATTTTTTACAAGCATCAGCTAGCCAGTTTTCACAAAGACTTCAGATTATCTGTAAATGGGAGCCTCTGGATGAGCATGAGTTCAGTGCAGAGGAACGGTGGTAGCTCTGAAAACTGCACTAACAGTAGTGAAAGCGACTGGGGTCTTTGATTTGGGTTTTTGTTTGGTTTTGTTTTGGTTTTTTTTTAAGAAGTCGATTTTTTCATCATACTTGAATACCAGATGAAGAGAGAATACTGTGACTCTCTGCACTGCATACCACAAGCCAGTGGATTTTCCTGAAGTAAAGTGCAGCTCCAACCAGGTGGCGGAAATTGAACTTGTACCTACAGTGCCTCAACTGATTGTATTAGGTCCCAGTACTAAAGAATACTCCACCAGGCTTGTTAAGTAGTTCCAATCCCTGGTTGCTCTGGTTGTTAAAAGTTTTCACCTGTTAGCCTGTGTTTACCTGGTTTCTATGTCCAGCCTTACTTCTAAATGTACCTTTATCCTCCAGGTTTAAAGGTATTTTGTTACCAAATCTTATCTCCCAATATAGGAATTTACAGGTTATAATCAAATCACTTTGTAGCCTTCTCTTGCTTAAAAGAAATAGAATGAGCATCCTGGGTTTGTCATCAGAGTGTGTTTTCATATCCTTTCATCATTCTCATAATTCTTTCAACTCCTTGTATTTAATCCTAAAGTATCCTAAGTATCCTAAGCATCCTTCCTAAAAGTATGTATGCCAGAACAGGACATAAATTTCCAGGAGCTGGATAGAAAGGTAATACAACCTTTCTATTGCTGTTCACTACCTCTCTATTTAACTATTTAAAGGACTGTTTACCCATTTTAACCATAGAGTTAAAATGGAGTGGGAGTATGTTTATTACTTGGTTTTGGTTTTATTTTTTCTGTAATGTCACTTTTCCAAATCACTGATTTGCAAGACTGGTATTCCCAGTCTAATAATTTGTATGTTGCATTCTTTGTTCTTAAGTATATAACACTGTGTATAGTTGGCCATGTTGAAACATACGACTTCTTGGGTATGCTTGATGAATAATGTATGTCTCTGAAGCAACCTTAAGTACGAAATACCGGAGAGTAAGGGCTCTGGGCCCTCAAATTGGGCCCCTGTGATTCCCAAGTCCATAACATGGAGTTTTGAAGCTCCAGGAAGCCAGGGTCTGCTGTGGAATGGAAGTACCGAAACCGAAACCCTTGTTTTGAAATTATCTTTTTAATATGCATATTCCGTGAAATAAAAAATCCCCGCACATATAATGTCTTTATTTTTTTGTTTATTTTCTCTTCCCTTTTTTCTGAATTCCCTGGAATAGAAACCATGCTGCTCACTCAGCATTCAAGTCTCGTGTCATTCACAGGTCTTTGATTCTGTGTTACCTTTATTCAATGATGTTTTCATTCTCTTTTGAGTCCATTGATATAAATGTTAAATAATTTTGGACTAAGAATGCATCCCACTAGTTAATGATGAACACCCCTTACAATTCCAGGCCTCTTTCCTTTTGAATTTTGCAGCCATTGACATGTGCAGGTTGATTACCTTTTTACTGTGAAGGTGTTCTGCAGAAAAGCAGCTTTTACAATTATGCTGATTTCAATTCCTTGCTTCTACTGCTTTTATACATGGCTCTATAGAAAAGAAAAATCTCTGATCAAAAAACTACACTGATGAATTGAATTACCAGAACAGAAATGGTATGTTTTTGTCCTGTAAACAAAGTGGATGGCGTTAAAAAATTACTATGGTAATTCAGAAGTGCGTGGTTGTTGCTTATTTGGTAAAAGTTATTTTGAAAAATGCCAACAGATTCAAATTGTTACATTCTGAAGAGATCACAAGAATGTGGCAGTCTAGCATTTTCCTGACTGTCAGTATACTAAATTTGCATAAAATCACTGGTTTGAACAATTTTGTTTATATCGTTGACCTGCCATTACAATCAAAAACTGTGGTCATGGGAGTATTTCAGTTATGGCCTTGAAAAGTGAACAACATTTACTTGGGTCCACTGAACATAACTGATGTGATAGCTGTTGTAGTAGCAAAAGAAAAACTAATTTGTGTTATGTCTGTGCGGTAATCATCTCTTGTATCCACTTATGGTATTTTTTTAATCCTCACATACAAAGTCTCTTCACCACTTTGCTTTGTTTTGTTTCCCGTTTCAGAAAGCGTTTCCAATGTAGGTTGGTTTCTAGCCAAGTTGTTGTTTTTGCATTCTATTTTTCTTCCTCAGTATTGCAAAAGAAATACCAACACAGAGTGTTAATGTTTTTATTAAGCCAAGGCAAACTGTTCGAGCTGTTGCTAATCTAATGTGCAAGCAGGTGTTCAATGTGATCTATTACTGTAGGTATAAAATGGTGCAGTTAAAATTGTCTTGGACCTTTGGGGCACAAGAGATGAAAGCTCTGACACACGATTATAGTTTTTTAAGTTCATTATATTATTCTGTATAGGAATTTCCTTGGTACGTTGTGCTTTGTTTTCTTTGCAGGAAAATAATGTGGTTATTTAGGAGGGAGATAGTGT